CTTAAAATCATTGAGCCAATCTGGCAACACTGGACATCATATCAGCTGCCAGAACACACGCAACCCAACCGACTCAGACTGCCTGCGGGAAGATGAGTGATGAGGTATAGGTTATAGATATGAATGAACAGGTACACTAATGGATGACTAGCTAGATTTGTGACCACTTTTAGCAATCTTCAGGCTTGCTCGCTAAAAAAAAAAATAATAATTACATCATACAAATTTTATTGTTTTTGTGTCAAGACAGGAAAACTTAGCGGAGCCTCCCAAGCTTCAGACACAGTTCGTTTAATAAATCATCCAAAAAGATTCACAAAACGGTTTCAAACACAAAATGGTTGAATCAGACTCTCTCAGTCCGACTGTGTTACTGAACCACAACATTTTCTGTTACGCCCAATTTGAAATAACCAGAATATGATTTACATCAGTCTATTGGTGTTTACGGACTGTATTCTCATATGACAGCGTGTTATCAAAGATGCATATTGTAATAAATAGTAATATGATCTTAACTGCTTATAAAAATAGTGTGAATAAGATATTTTTTCTTGTTCTTCACACAAAGCTATCAACATGGCCTCAAAATATAGATCATATTGACTTACTGAACTGATTTTAATGATAATTTTACAGGGAACAGGGGCTGTGAAGCTCCAGCATGCATTCGTTGAATGGAATACAACAGCTTGGACATTCTGCTTAACATCTCCTTTTGTCACGCACAGAAGTCATAAAAGTTTAGAACGACGTGAGGGTATAAATAATGGCTTTTTTATGTTTAAATGCATTATCCCTTTAAGATTTTGGCCCATGGCATGATACTACCGCTTAACCAGACAGACTAAATCAGTCAAAGTGAAAACGCATATATACACACACACAAACGAAACATGAAATAGTGGTTGGTGGTCAGAATGGGAGGAGGAGGAGCAGTGCTGATCATGTGCTGATGCTGTAAAACATCAGCGGTCGAGCATCAGCACTATTAGCTCTGGCAGCAGCACTCATTCAGGCAGCATGCAGAACGAGAGCATGTGGAGCCAATGTGAGCCACCTACAGGAACTTATCAGTGTGCCCCAAAACACCCGCCTGAGTCTTACCAACCTCCCCACAATCCCCTACTT